TAGCAATACTCTTCCAAAAAGAAGAAAAATCGAAAGAGTATTCAAAAACACATAAGAAAAAAGGGTTATGCAAAATATGAAAAAAGGACACACCAAGAAGGAAGTGAAAAAATGGAGTAATGTGTTAGCATTTTTTTAATGCTGATATGGTCCATATTAGATGGATCCCTTATCCCACTTCATGGACCCATTGTACTACTAATGGGAAGGTAGTTAACTATCCATTATCCCAATAATGGGGAGGTAGTTAACTATTCATTATTCCACTAATGAGAAAGTGGTTAATTACCTATTATCCCACTATGGGATAATGGTTAATTACACATTATCCCACCACATGAATCCACTATCCTACTACTCAAGTGGTTGATAACTTCCCATAACCTCTTAATCATTCTTGATGGAAGCACGGTTATAAATATGTCATTTGGTTCAAAGGTCCCTAAGCACATTACTTCTAAAAACTCCAAACCATCTAAGAGTGAGGTTTTGAATGCTTTAGAAGATCTTTAAAGAAAAGAAGAATTGTAGACTCTGACTATATCACTAACAATGGCTGGAGGTATGCCCATCACTCTATATACACATATGGTCAGAAATACATTATCACCTTTATAGATGATTACTCACGATATATGCATCTCTACATGCTTCATAATAAGACCGAAGCATTAGAAGCCTTTAAATTTTTCAAGGCTGAAGTAGAGAAAAAATACAAAAAACAAATTAAGATTGTGAGAACTGATAGAGGCGATGAATATTATGGTAGATATATAGAAGATGGACAAGCACACGGTCCGTTTGCAAAGTTTCTTCAACAAAATAGGACTGTTTCACAATATACTTGAGGAGCGACCCGTTGGTTCACCAAACCCCGACCCAGCGTCACACATTCTCCAGGTCCGAAGGGATCCAGTGCCCAACTACCGACTCCTCCCGGAATTGCGTTATCGGAGCCGAGCCAGGAATGGCCATTAGTGGACACCCACCACTTTTCACCGTGGTGCGTTGTATGTTAAGTAGCTCTAAGCTACCTAAGTCATGTGGATTGAATCTATTAAGACAACGGCATATATATTAAACTGAGTTCCAACAAAGGCCAAAGATGCCTTTTGAGTTATTCAAAGGTTGGAAACCTAGTTTGACACATAACATGTATGGGGATGCCCGTCTGAAGTTAGAATTTAGAACCCACAAGAAAAGAAACTGGATCCTAGGACCATTAGCGGATATTTCATTGGATATGCCGAATCTAAAGGATACAGATTCTACTGTTCATACAATAGTACTAGGATTGTGGAATCAAGAAATGCAAAATTTCTTGAAAATGAATTAATTAGTGGGAGTGATCGATTTCAGAATACAATTTCTATAAGAGATCAACCTTCCACTTCAAATCAAAAATTGATTGTTGTACATAATACCCCTCAAGTTCAATTTGGGTGTTGAGCAACCAATCAATGAGATTCCACAAGCTGCTGAAAACATGCATATAGATCAAGTTGTTTAAGTAATTCCTGAAATTATTGAACAACCAGTTGAACAACATAATCCACAGGAAAATGTTGGTGCAACATTGAGAAGATCTACTAGAGAAAGAAAATCAGCAATTCCTAGTGACTTTGTTGTATATTTGCAAGAATCTGACTTTGGAGTTGAAAATGATCCTAAGTCTTTTTCACAAGCCATGAATTCTAAAGAGTCTGAATTGTGGTACAATGCCATGAAAGAAGAGATAAGTTCTATGATAACTAACGAGGTCTGGGATCTTGTCGATTTGCCTAGTGGTGTTAAAACCATTATATGTAAATGAGTTTTCAAGATTAAAAATGACTCATCAGGCAACATAGAAAGATATAAATCAAGACTCGTTGATGAAGGATTTACTCAAAAGGAATAAATTGATTACACAAAGACATTTTCTCTTGTGTGTGAAAAGGATTCCTTGCGCATAATATTGGCATTAGTAGCACACTTTGACTTAGAATTTCAACAGATGGATGTGAAAAATGCATTTCTCAATGGTGATCTAGAGGAAGAGGTTTATATGAAACAACCTGAATGATTCTCCTCTAGTAATGGTGAACACTTGGTATGCAAGTTAAATAAATTCATATATGGACTAAAACTAGCTTCCCGTCAATGGTATTTGAAATTTCATAATGTTATCTCTTCATTCGACTTTGTTGAGAACATTATGGATCAATTAATATACCATAAGATCAGTGGGAGTAAAATATGTTTCTTAGTTCTATATGTGGATGATATCTTACTTGCATCCAATGATTAGGGAATGATACATGAGGTGAAACAATTTCTCTCTAATAGTTTTGATATGAAAGACATGGGTGATGCATCTTATTTTATTGATATTAAGATTCATCGAGATAGACATTAAGGTACCTTAGATTTATCTCAAAAATTCTATATTAATAAAATTTTAGAGAGGTTCCGAATGAAAGATTGTTCACCAAGTGTAGCTCCTATCGTGAAGGGTGACAAGTTCAACTTGAATCAGTTCCCGAAGAACGATCTTGAGAGGAAACAAATGAAGAACATTCCTTAAGCTTCTGCTGTCAGGAGCTTGATGTATGCTCAGGTTTGTACAAGACCTGACATATCATTTGTTGTTGGAATGTTAGGAAGATATTAGAGTAATCCAGGTCTTGACCACTGGAGAGCTGCAAAGAAAGTCTTAAGATATCTTCAAGGAACAAAAGACTACATGTTTATGTATAAACGATCAGATGTCATTGGCTACTCTGATTCAGACTTTGCTGGCTGTGTTGATTCACGAAAATCAACTTCAGGATACATATTTATGTTAGCCGGTGGAGCTATATCTTGGAGAAGTGCCAAACAGACTCTAGGTACTACTTCCACTATGGAGGCTGAGTTCGTTTCTTGTTTCAAGGCTACCTCACATGGTGTATGGTTAAAGAGTGTTATTTTGGACTTAGAATTGTTGACTCTGTATCTACGTCATTAAGGTTATTGTGACAATTCAGCTGTTGTCTTTATGTCTAAGAATAATAAAAGTGGTAGCCGAAGCAAGCATATCGACATCATATATCTAGTCATAAAAGAACGTGTTTAATATAAGAAAGTGGTCATTGAACACGTCAGCACTGAAGTAGTGTTAGCTGATCCTTTAACTAAAGGCATGCCGCCACAAAAATTTAAGGATCATGTAGTCATAATGGGACTTAGTCCCGCTATGTAAAATTTCGTTGTAACAATGAATGTTTACGAAACTCTATTTTATATGATATTTCTCGTTAACTGTGTGCACATTTAGTTGTATTTTCAGAAATATCACTAAAGTATGGATCTTGAATAAATATTGAGTTTATTCATTTAATTATATGGGGTTAAAGTTTAGAGATATAGTGCATTATGATACATGGAGATACTACTCATTGCAAGAGAAACTATCACCATGATTCCTATATTATATTTCATTAGTGGGATTAGAATATACGAACCAAGTGGGAGAATATTAGCATTTTTGTTAATGTTGATATGTTCCATATTAGATGGGTCCATTATCCCACTTCATGGACCCATTATCCCACTATGGGATGGTAGTTAACTACCCATTATCCCACTAATGGAAGAATGGTTAACTACCCATTATCCCACAACATGAATCCACTATCCTACTATTCTAGTGGTTGGCAACTTCCCCTAACCTCTTAACTGTTCTTGATGGAAGCACGATTATAAATATGTCATTTGGTTCAAAGGTCCCTAAAAACATTACTTCTAAAAACTCCATACCATCTAAGAGTGAGGTTTTGAGTGCTTAGACCATCTTTGAAGAAAAGAAGAATTGTAGACTCCGACTATATCGCTAACAATGGCTGGAGGTATGTCGATCACTCTATAATTCCGCTGCGTCATTGCTCTGCCATATCTTACATAATGGGGTTACAAAATTGTATATTTTGGACCTCCCATTTGCTCATTTGCCTGCAAAAAGATAGAGATAGTACTGTAATTAATTTTTTGATATTTTTTTTGTAGATACACAGGGAGACAATTATATATATGGAAATCAAGAACAAAAAGAAGAAAAAATTTCAGATAAATTATATGTTTTTATGAAAACATAAGAGTAGAGAGAGAAACAATGGATGAAGAAAATATTGAAATGATAAAACAAAATTGATGAAGAAGGGAGGCACTGACCATTCTTGTCTTCTTTGTTGGCTACTTTCTTTTCTACTATTTCTTTTTTGATAAAATAGGGTTTAATCGAGGCTTTGAAGAAATAGTAAATTTGTTATCACGTAATTTATATTAGTCTTATTTGTCATGGCATTAGCTAAATATTTTTGTCGAGATAAGATTGACTACATCGAGTTGTCATCATACATACCAACAAAATCAAACCAACAAAAATACAATAGAATCACACACAAAAAAAGAGATGTGCAATAAAAAAAAATTTGAAGAGACAAGATTGATGGAAAAAAAAGAAAAAACAATTTATTCAACAATGTGTTGAGTGAAATAAAGAAGAAGAGATGATCATTCAAATAAAAATCTTATAATTACTACCTTTTTAAGGCGTCTTACGCTCTAGAGTGTGTGTATCACACGCTCCATGTGGACTCTTTCCACATAGGATGCTATATAAAAAATTGTGTTTAGATGAATTCAAGAGTACAAATAATAAAATAATAAATAAAAGAGTTTTAAATACAAACAAAAACAAATATAAAGATCCACTAAATCATTTAGCTTATATTTTTATATAGTCAAAATGATGTAATATGTTCAAATAATTAAATATTTTTGCAATGCCCATGAATATATCCAAGGTAGCTTAAAACTTATAAAAGCTAGACAAACATAAATAAAATTTTAAAAGTACGTTGTTTATTTTCCGACACAAAAAAAATAAAAAAAAAAATAAAGTAGTAGACAATTTTGAAATTCAAAAATTTGGTATCTTTCTAGAATATAAAAAAGACCCCAAGGCGTCAAGTTTAAGCAAATTTCCCCAATTTATAAACCCTAACGCATTTCTCTTTTTCTTCTCTCTCAAAATAAAAAAAACCCTACAGCTCCCTCTTACGAAGCTTAGCTTCGAGTTTTTCTTCTCATCTTTTCGATAATGGTGAGTAAAGTTTCAATTTTTGTACTCTGTATGGTGTTTAATTTTCATGTTTTTTTATGTAGAATTGGAATTGAGGTGTTATACGATTTGTTTTTTTTTTTGTGTATTTGAGCTTTGATTTGGACGAATTTGTGCTTTTCGGCTTTTAGTTGTATGTTGTTCTCTTTAATTTGGACAAAGTATTTATCTTAATTGAATGAGGTATCTTAGATACAGGAGAATTTATGTAGAGGGTGAGATTAAGTGTTTATAGAATTTTTGTTTCTTTTTTTGGTCAAGTTGTTCCTTTCTTCGTTTAGGAGTTGGATTTAGCTTTGCTTGGATGAGTTTTGTATAATCGCAAAGTGTATATGAGTATTGAAATGATAACTGATCTTAACTTAGATGAGATTTATGGTCGACCTGGAATAGTTTGAGATTGAGGTGTGTATACATTTCAGATGCGTATCTGGGGGTAGGATTTGGCAAAACCTGAATTTTTAAGATTTGTATATATATGGATCCGTACATAAATACATATCAGCTAAAAAAATCAATATTATTAAAATGGAGCTATAAAGGTAGTCTTATTTTGAGATATAGCCTTTGGAAAACTTAGATGGTATGTTGTAGAATTCAATCATTCATTCTCCAAGATGGGAGTGAAGAAACATAAAGTAATTGTTAAAAAATAGCATGCTAATAATTTATTTAGAAATTATTCCTTTTTTTCTATGAGAAAGAACACATTTATATGGATTGGAAGTATGCCATCTTCCATGTCTTACATATGCTTTATCTTTTATTTTGAGAAATCAAAATCCCCACCCCCATCCCCCGTGTCATGTCGACGGGAACAAATCTCAGCTTAGGTTTGAGATTGAGGTGCTTGTACGCTTTGTTGAGTTTTTGTCTCCTTTTTTTTCCTCTAGGAAGTTGGTTTTAACTTTGATTGAAGATGCCTATGAGTTATATTTGGTATGTGATCAGTGTTGTATTTTAACTGTTTTGGCTGATTTCTTGTGCTGGTGTTCGTGAATTTATTATTACAGGCTTTACCAAACCAGCAAACTGTAGACTATCCAAGCTTCAAGCTTGTTATTGTGGGAGATGGAGGAACTGGTATGTTTCTATGTTTAACTGAGATTCGTTTCTAGTATCATTTATTTCAAAGAGAATATCAGTATTAACATTTGATGTCAAGCAGGTATTTTTGTTTTGATGTCTTCATTCATTTGATAAACATTATAAATGAGAAATTTTGATTTGTAATGGTTTTATATGAGAGTTATTTCAAATAGTTAAGTAATCATTTATGAGTTTACACTGCAAATTTAGGGGATAACTGTTAAATGTTGTATCCATTCCGATCTTTGTAAAATGAAGTGAATGTTTTGAGATCGGTGGCTTGCTTCATTTGTTAGAGTATCCTAATGGTTCCTGTTGTAAATGGATTTCCAGGCAAGACAACATTTGTCAAAAGGCATCTCACTGGTGAATTCGAGAAAAAATACGAACGTAAGTTTTTGATTTCCTATACTGACAGAAAGTCTTTCGATAATTTGGGTTGTTATCCTATTCAATAGTCTTGTTCTGTTTCTTATTTATTGGATTCTCACGAGCCGATTATTTATTAAATTTCATTTTCATACAGCCACTATTGGTGTGGAGGTTCATCCACTAGACTTCTTCACAAATTGTGGGAAGATTCGGTTTTATTGCTGGGATACAGCTGGACAAGAGAAGTTTGGAGGTCTCAGAGATGGTTACTAGTGAGTGGTTCTAGGCTGTTTAAAACCTTTAGTTTCTGCAAGTCTCTGCTGCTCGATGGATGTTATTTCTGATGAAAAGCTTTTACTATCATATCCTAATAGTTACTGTGTAAAGTTCAAACTTCAAAGTTTCCAGAAAAAAGAGATATCAGAAATTAGGTGATTTGTTCTGACTGTGTAGAATAGTTGATGACATGTGTTGTTATTCAGAAAATGCCACTATTTGTATTTCTAGAATATGGTCTTGTATAACACTGCTCACACTTGCATCTCTTTTTAGCTGAGATATTACATTTGAATATATACCTTGCTATTCCGTTTTATGTCAATCACATGGATGACTGCCCTGCCATTAGTTGTCTTGGTTGAAGCTTTGGTGACTGTATTTTGGCTTCTCATATTTCTCTACGTCATTCTTGCAGCATTCATGGGCAATGTGCAATTATCATGTTTGATGTTACAGCCCGTCTGACCTACAAGAATGTTCCTACATGGCATAGAGATCTTTGTAGGTGAGGAACTCTTCATAGACTGCCAGCATTATACTCAACTTAATTGATGATATGCAATTGAATCTGAAATGGCTTTTCCATCACTTTTTGCAGGGTTTGTGAAAACATCCCCATTGTTCTCTGTGGAAACAAAGTTGATGTCAAGAACAGGCAGGTTAAGGCTAAGCAAGTTACCTTCCACAGGAAGAAAAATTTGCAATACTATGAGATCTCAGCAAAGAGTAACTACAACTTTGAGAAGCCTTTTCTGTACCTTGCCAGAAAGCTTGCTGGGTAATGCTTATAAACATAAATATATTTCTTGTTTGCTCAAGCCATATATACTGTTGATGTATTGGACCTAATTTCTTGTAGGGATGGTAATCTTCACTTTGTGGAGTCACCTGCACTTGCTCCCCCAGAAGTACACATCGACTTAGCTGCACAGGCACTGTAAGATATCTGTGTACTTTTGGTGCTTCATTGTTTTGTGCTTCTGCTAATATCGATGTTTTATATGCGAATTCCATAACTGTCATCAAGTCTGAAAAATATCAGATATTTACTGCTTAATACGTATAATCAAGTTAGACAATGCCCATTGCATCTTAATATGTTTTATCAGAGTTAGAACTGACGATTTTGATCATGAACAACCCTTGTATCTTACAGAATAGGAATAAGTATTAGGTTCCTGTAGGTTTAGATCATGCAAGTTTAGTCTGTTGCTTGCTGTTTCTGTGATGTGGTAGTTTCCTTGTGCTTGAAATTTTGTTTTCTCATTGTACTATTTCTAATTTTTAACCATACTATGTCTGTTCAGGCATGAAGAAGAGCTTCAACAAGCCGCCAATCAGCCACTTCCAGATGACGATGACGAAGCATTTGAATAGAAGGCATAGCTCAGAGCGGATCAGTTTCACTGTTGCACCTTTCAATTTCCTTGTCCTTAAACTTTCTATATTCGGACTTCTGTTTTTGTGGTTTGAGGATTTATTTGCTGCTTCCTTGTATTTTGATTGGTTATTAGATATTTATCTGGGGCCGTGAGGCTGTATTGTATTAGATATCATTAGTTAGTGTTCTATTCCGGTCCTGACGTAAATGCGTAAATTTCGAGGCTCTGTTTGAGCTTGTTATAATATTTACTAGGTAATATATATATTCGACAATTTTCTCTGAAAATATTTAAATGTTAAACTGATAGTGAGTAGTGATGGTAGCTAGTTTGTTAGGTTTTTCAGAAAGTCTTATCCTTTGGATTCAAAATATGATGAGCAGTAGGCATTATGGTATGGTGTTAATACTGATGTGGTTGTGTTATCCCAATACATATAAATGTTTTAATAAAGGTTTGGTGTTAATACTGATGTGGTTGTGTTATCCCAATACATATGAATGTTTTAATAACTTTTCGTTTGTATGACATGATATTTTACCATTTATTACCTTTCAGGATTTAGTCGTGGTTTTTCAATCTTCATTGCTCAATTCGTTCGCGTGTTGAAAGACAATTGGAGTACTCTGAATGCTTTTTTTTTTTGTGTCTTGGTGATAGTGAACATTTCACTTGAAGGCTAGAAGTAATTGAGTATTTGATAAATGATGAAAAAATAAATTGAAATAATATTGAAGTCTGATTAAAACTTTCTATTGCAATTTTACAACAACATCAATTTATTAATTATTATTATTAATGTGTAGAAGTGGCTACAAGAAAGCATGTGTTGGTTGACATGCTTACTTGCCCACATAGAGGTTGTTTAGGTATTTCTATATTAATAGCTTTAGGTTTGTGTTAAAATCAAAAAATTGGATGTTACGACACTTGTCTAATTAATTATAAAAACAAAAGAAATGTAGAAAAACAAAATAAGAACAAGATAAAGCGAAAGACTATTCTTTCTATTAGAACTCCCAAAATCTGATTTTCACATGTACAAGCAACTAAATGCGTATAGTACAGAATTATACTAATTACAAGTCTCACCCTTTGTTTCTCAAATAAAAAAAATATAAAGAAAATAAGAAAGAGAATCAGCCGGAATGCCAAACAACTACCTCTTAAGTCCAACAACATGCCTAGGAAAGTAAGAGAAGAAAAGCAATCATGCTATACCGGGCTCGAAATCTACACAACTGTAGAAATAAGTACTAATAACAGGGTACCCAATAAGCAACATAATTAAAGTCATCTAGCTAGTAATCGAATACTCTTTTCATCCCAATCGAACCTCCTTAAACTATTATTTGCACAAAAATCAGCTCGATCTAGCAGTTCTATAATACACAGATCACAAGGCTCAATATACAAAGTTATTCAATAGTCACAATCTAACAACCAATACGAACCAATTAAGTCAATCTTAATGTCAAGTAGATCAATCATACGTAACAAGTGCATCTATCTCAATGTCAAGTGGATTAATCACACATAACAAGTGCATCAATTTCAATCCACAAGTATATCACACATAAACATCAAAATGTATCAGATCACAACAATCAATTTCTTTAAGAGTTCTTAGTCAAAATAATGAACTTATGCACGAGTTCATGTAAAATGAATGGAAAAACATGTAATTGAGTCAAAATAATCATACAAGAACAAAATCAAACAATTGAATCAACACAATTAGAAAAAGAATTGAATGAAAACATATCAATTTGATGAAATTGAACTTGGAGAATTGAAAAATCTTTAGGGCTCAATGAATAGAATCCATTGATAAGACCCTACATACCTTGGCGATCAAATCCCAAACAATGAGTGGAATTTGAGATGTGAAGCTTGAAACCTAGCCTTCTTCTTAGACTTGAGAGAGAATTGAGAAAGACGATTGTGGTTGAGATTTGAAGATTTTAGTGAATGACAGACCTAGGGTAGTTTTAGGGGCAGAAAGATAGTTATAATACTTAGAATTTGGGTCAAAACAACATAATATAGGTATTAAATGCATAGTAAAATACCTAAATACCCTTAAGAAATAACCGTCGAACAATATTGGTACTAAATGCATCAGAATGCCATTCTCTTTCACACTCAATTGGTGATAACCCGATCGAAGTTCAATCTTAGAGAAGTAACTCGCTCTTTAGAGTTGATCAAACAAGTCGCTTGTTCTTAATTGTAACCTTAATTAATTGTCGATAGTCAATGCAAATTCAAAGAGAACCATCCTTTTTTTTTTTGAATAAACAACAATGGAGCACCTCATGATGAGATACTCCATCTAATAAAATCCTTATCTAACAAGTCCTTCAATTGATCCTTTGATTCCTTAAGTTCTGCCGGGGTCATAAGATAAGGAGGAATGTAAATAGGTTGCATATCTAGGAGAAAGTCATCAAAGTTTTTCCTTTTGAGAGGAATATCGGGAAACACTTCCAAAAACCCATTTACAATCAAAAGTCACTCAAAAGTAGGGTTTTGAAATCTATATCCCTAACCCAAACAAGATGATAAATGCACCTATTAGAAGTCATCCTCACAGCCTTTAGGCAAGATATAAACTAACCTTAAGAACATAATTTCCCCTTTTCCATGTCATGATAGGTTCATTCGGAACCTTTAATGTGACCAATCAGGTCCTACAATCTATGGAAGTATACATGTATGAAGCCAATCCATTCCAAGGATAACATCGAAATGTAACAAATTAAGATCCTTTCGATAAGGCGGAAGTAAGAAGATTGCAGCTCTACACAATTACGATTCTTCTTTACCAAACAGCTTCCCCAGATCATGCTATAATTAGAGTTGCGGAGATAGAGAATGCTCATTCTCCTTTAATAGCAAAGACCTTTTCACGAGATCAACATGAGTGACTTTATGAAAAGAAGGAAACATGTCAATTTTCTATACTCTCTTATAGTAGAATCACAAATTGGAGTAAAGACATAAAAAGAGATAAGAAAGGAAATGGAGTACTAATTCATATCTATGCCTACATTGTTTCATAATGTAGAATCTAACGCTTCTCCTCCTCACGTTTGTGGCTAGTGATTGAGTGTTTGATTGTGTTTGTGAGTTCTCATGTTCCGAGGACCATGTCACCTTTACTTTGCTTTATTATGTTCTAGTTTTTAGACATTGTACGTGGTTTGGGGGTTACATCCCGACCACTCTTTGATGTATTAGATTGGCTTGTCAAGATACGAGTATACTTCTGCTTTTATGTGGAACTCTTTCATAATATTCAATTTTCTACTTTTCTCTATTATATTGTATTGTAAGTACCTCAAGTGGCTTGTGTAGGGGCTCTCGAGGTCTTATATGCCATGTCATGTCTAGAGTCTGCTTTAGATCGTGACATTAGATTTTCCTACGACTATGCCAGACCAAAATAAGGGGTTGTAATATAAAAAAAACCCAACAAATATTACTCTAGTTCACGCCTTAAGAATGTCATCTCTATGTATAGATTATACGCTCTAATAATAATTTCATTTGTTATTGGCAACAACACCAATGACTTTAATATTGTATTACATCTCTTCATGCGTCTTATTCATTCCAAAGAGGGTTTAATAATACTTGTCAAGGGCATGATATAACTGAAAGTCTGAATGTGGGAGATACTAAAACTAACATAAACTATCCAATACTTTGCCAAAGTAAGGACCTGAGCTAAGCTTATGTGGGCCATTAAGCTGATGTCTATAATGAACAATCCTACGGAGACACACAATTCTTGGATTTAGGAAGCTACTAAAGTATCATGGACGGTGATCAAAATCCTTTACCCCTAAAGCCACGCAGTACCAAGTATAACTCCCATTGCAACATGCATATAAACTGTAAATAATAATAATAAAAAAATACTGAATCATATTGATGATTGATAAATATTGAGTAGCATCTAAATCATGATAACTTAAAATAATTTAAAAAGATACTTTATTTAAAATCACGATGGTGTGATAAATTGAGATATGCATATGAAATAACATAATTCTAAATCTGAAAAACACTTGTATGCTATGGATGCATGAAAATACCATTGAAAACATGAAATTATAATGACTTAAGTCATCTACAACCACTTAAAGTTGTTCCCATATTTCATTTGAACGCCTCAACTAGGGCTTGTACCTATTGAACACTTTATTTATTGAAAAATCATTTTTATTAAACACAAAATGCTGACATGGCAAAAAAAGTATGTTCCCCTCGCCTTGAACGCGTAAAGCAGTTAAAAATCGTATTTTTTTTGTTTTCCAACTTATATACTTGATAAGTTTTTTTTTAAAAAAAATAAAAAAATGGAAAAGCCATGCCTTCATCTTCTTCACTTCTTCACTTCAAGTCTGCAACTTTCTTTCTCTAATCTTTTTATTTTTCTTTTGCTTTTGCATTTATTTTAATTGATTTTTTCAGCAAAAGCTTTGAAATGACGGAAGAAAAGCATTAATTAAAGAAGAAAAATCAAATTGCGTCAAAAATAGTTCTGGCGAAACTCTATTTTTTCCAGCGAGACTAATACGAATCTGAAATTATTTTCTTTCAAATTGTTAAAAAATTCATACCCTAAAAAAACTCACAGTATAGAAGGAAAAAAATCATATGAGAATCTAAATCGATGGTTGAATACAAAAATGAGATTGAGAGAAACAACTACTACAATATTTGTGGATATAGAAATAAATGAGAAGAACATGTGTATGAGTGAAAAACATCCGTTGAGAGAAGCAAAGATGAAACTAAGATAATTATTGTTGATTTTAATTGCGGCAACTCTGTCGTGTTTCGGTAAAGAAAGCGGAAAGATGGACGCTGGTGGGTGGGTGGGTTGGTGGGGGTGTTCTGGCCAAGTAGAAATAGGAAAGAAGATTTATTTTCTTTTTAATTTATTTTTACTTATTTTTATGGATGAAATGCCACATGTCTTTTTTTTATTTGTTACTATGTCACATCATTAGCAAGTGCATGACACACTTTTTCTATTTTAGTTGATTGTCACAAAATGTTCAATAAATATATTTTTTAACTAATGAAGGTGTTCAATTGAAACAAGCCAAAGATAGAGTGTCTAAGTGAATCATGTGGACAACTTTAAGAGGCTATGTATGACTTTAATCAATTATAATTAAAATCATGTAGCTGACAACCAATCATGAAGAAGAACTAAAATTCGTCAAGAACCCATGAATATCCTAGAAATCCTAGGTTTGGAAATTA